AGACTCCTTAAGTTATATTTCTAATCCGATAAAGAAACGGTTCTTGGCCTCAAAAATCGATTACGTTTTAGGTTTTCTTACGATCCCACATGTCTAAAAAAAACAGTCGTTTTATCAAACTCCTATATATATATAAGTATATAATGTATATTTTAGTAAGGAGAAGTAAAATCTCCAATGGTAGAGACGTAAAGTCAATCAGCAACAATCAAGATCAATCCGCTGATACATTAGCACTTAATCACAATTTAGAAACAATATACAACTAACTTAGTTAATCAATAATTAAGGATCGCCCTGTTGGTCTAGGCCAGGGATCGATCCTCCCCAGACGCAGTTTCGCTCTCTCACTCCTGTGGCCACCTGGGAATTTACATGCGGACTTGCTCAGGCGCTCCAGACCACCAGTTTATCAGGGAGCCCTAAAGTGGAGGCTTAAAAATCCCTGTGATGCGGGCTTAGGCCCAGTGGACTAGTCAGATCACTGTGTGGTCTGGATACTGGGTTATCAAAAAAAAGTTAATCGATAATTTAGAACTTTTGCAAAACAAAGAATGTATATTATTATATGGTGAAAGTGATGCAGCATAAATTAAAGATTCTTATATACCATATATTTTTACACGTGATCGTTTTTACGGCATAACATTGGTCACCGGATATAAAGTTGAATAATACGATGAAATACTACCATCCAACATGTACTAAGACCATCTCCAATGTATTTTTCTATTTTTAGCTCTATCTCTATAATAGAGGTAAGTTTTCTCTATTTTTACTCCAATGTGTTTCTCTATTTTTTCCTCTAAAAACTTTAACTCTATTTATAGAGGAAAAAATAGAGATTCTCTATTCTCACCTCTATATATAGAGAAAAAAATAGAGATCTCTATTTTAGAGGTGAGAATGGAGGTGGGTTGGAGCAAATTTGCTTCTAAAATAGAGTTTAGGGGCAAATATAGAGGTGGGTTGGAGATGCTCTAATAATAATAAGGGCGGTCGCTTTTTTTTTGTAAGCCTTTTTGAAATAATCAATACACATTTTTGAAAAACACAATAACACATTAATGTAACAAATGTTGGGATTGGAAAAAGATTCTTCCTTTTCTCAGGAAAAAAAAGAAAAATTAAAGATAATGAACAAGAAAAGATACTTTGTGTCTGTATCCAAAACAAGTACAGTGTGACACATTAAAGATAAGATTTCTTCTAGGGGTGGGCATTTAAACCCAACCGAACCGAACCGACCCAACCCAACCGAACTCAAACCGACCTAAACCGAACCCAAGCTTCGACCTAAACCGAACCCAAGCTTATACTCAAACCATTCGGTTGGGTTTATTCTCAACCCAAATGGGTCGTTCAACCGAACCGAACCGATTATTTAATTAATTATTTAATTATATTAACAATATTGTAAATAACTAAATATGTGTTTATTTTTACTTTTATAATAATTTGAATAAATGTAAAATAGATTTAATTATCTCTAAAACTCTAACCCTAAAAAACTTAGGGTTCTCCTTCTAAAAAACTTACAACTTGAACTTGATATTTAATGACTTTACCAATTTCAATGTTCAAACTTCAAAAACAATGATTTTTTTTTGTTTTGTTACATTAATTGATTTTTTGAACCGAATTCAAACCGAACTGAAGTAAAACCGAACCGAACCAAACCGAACCAAACATAAACTGACCCAAACACAAACCGAACCAAACTAACTTCGGTTGAGTTTGGTTAGAGTTTTACGAAACCCAAATAAACCGAACCGAACCGAACCCAAACCGAACCCGAAGTTAAACCGAAATGCCCACCCCTAGTTTCTTCTTTCTTTTGTTTTGCCAATGATGTCCGAATAATTTTCAATTACAAATTCATAGTTTACAAACATTATAGGCAATAATAGATAACCGACTAAAGGACCGGAATGTATGAACAAAAATACAATCTGGGCATTTTAAGAGATACTCGTTTTAGGATAGTGGGCCTAAAGCCCAATGTAACTTTTATTTTTAAGAAACAAAAGGCCCAAATAAATTCGACGAAGAAAATTTGTATCTCCCATGGCGGAAGTGTCTGAGACGAGGAAGGAGATGACGACGACAAAGGGAAAGAGCGAGAACTGGAAGAAGATGAAAACAGATACGGTTCCAATCGCCGCCATGAACGAAGACCTTCTCCATAACATTCTTTTGAGATTGCCGGCGAAATCGTTTGCTTTCGCTTCCTGTGTTAACCGATCCTGGAGCAGCGTCTGCAATCGCATCCTCTCTCGCCCCAAAATGATCTCTGCTTTCTCTCGTAATCCTGATCAACTCGTAAGTTTCTTCTTCGTAATACCCTTTTCCTGTTTTATTTTGGTTTTCCAGATCGATCGAAAAAGCTCAAAACTTTTCTTCATGGTAGTACTAAGAGCGCTTGACATAGCAAATAGAAATGAAAAGGATTGTTAGAAAGTTGAAGCTTAACCACTGTAGCCTGAGAAGATCTTTAGTATGTGTTCTTCTCAAAGTGAAAGTTTAATTTGGTAAACAGAGAGCTGGAGAAGAAGTACTTGATAAGGTTTTATCTGAGCCAATTCGACCACATTTTGTAATCGCAAACATTACATGTGGAAACATGGAAGAAACTTTGACACTGGTAATGGTTCGTTCTTCTTCCCATTAAAATGTTCAATTTTGACTTCTTTTCACTCGTTCTAATGTTTTTCACTATGCACATGATGTAGATAACTGAAAGAGTGGGATCAAGGGTTCCTATTATTGTATCTGTTGTTACTGGAATCTTAGGAAAGGAAGCATGCAATGACAAGGCTGCAGAGGTTTTTATGGTTTTCTTAATCATTAAAGTATTATGGACTTTTATTTCCTATATTTTTATTTTATGTTCAACTTATATCACGTTTTACAGGTCAAACAGCATTCCACTAGTGATGATGAACTGTTCATTGTTCCAAATTTTGCTATACTCTTGACGATTGGCTACTTACCAGGAATGAAAGTCGACGTTATTCCTGTTATTCAGGCTAAAGGGGTAATATTTCACTTCTGAATTTATAAAGCTCTCTAGTTGTTTCGACTGTGATTTTCTTCATAGAGCTTGTCCACTGGCTAGATTGTTTTTGTCTTCAAAGACTTTGATTCATTTGCTTACAAAATTTAGAGAACGGAATTCATAATAAAAGCTACATTTTAAGTGAACATCTTGTTTAATGGAGTATCCATGTAATTTTTTTATATAGATAGAGTGAGCTTGTTAGTATTTTCTTGCAGGAATCGGAATCGGATATTGGAGACAAATTTGTGATGGATATTAGAAATTATGTGTCCATGGTTTCAGGTCATGCTGCTGCACCAGCATGTCTTATACTCTTTGGGGTGAACTTTACTTTTCTGGCTTCCTTTTCTATTATACTTGTGGACTATATTCAGTTTTATGACTATTTTCCTGTGTCTTCATGTTGCATTGGTGAATTTGTAGGAGGATACTCATGCCACAGAACCTGTCCTTCACAAACTGGGTATGATTACTGCCTTATGGTACATCTTTTCAATGTTACTTCGTGACAAGTGAAATCTACTAAGACAAAACAAATATTTCTCGAAAATTTTCATTTGTTTGTGTTGGTACCAGCCTACCTCCTTTTTTCACTTCTTTTGCTCTGGCTCGACTCTGAAAATATAACTATGATTGTGGTAATATATAGAAATTACTGTGCCTGAAAACTTGTTAATGAAGCTTGTTTGCATTGCAGATTATGCCATGCCTGCAGAAACTGTTATTGTGGGTGATCAAATTGGCGAGTTTTTACATAAACGTGGTAATGAATCAAGAAATGTTCAGTTGCCGAAAGATGATTGCAGAGTTCTCGCAGGCTTAATATTTGCAAGAGATAGACTCAGACCCGCTCGTAAGTTTCTGCGGTTTTAATATTAAATTCTTAAAAACTACGGTATATCGAGAGACACACTTTATCTTTACTATGCTAGGTTAAATATTTCAGCATCTTTCTTTCATGTTGTGCTGATTATGTGTTTCCGATTAAAATCTCGTCTTTTCATTTTACTCAATTTGTTGAACTAAATGAAGCAGAGGCTGAAAGAATTCAGTTTGACACTGCAATATCAAGGGGAATGTCATCGGTTGATCTGAGGTACAAGGCGGCTAATGTCAATGTTAGTCGCCCTAGATGTCCTTCGACGCTTCTGACTGCCAAAAGAAGAGGAGAAGCAGAGGTTCTGGATGGCGAGCAAATTCTAGATGACATAGATAATATTGTAAGCATCTGAAGCCAATCTTTTATGCATTCCTGAAATTAATTTGGTTACTAAACTGACTTGAAATTTTCAGTTAGAAAACCATATCTGGGAGAATGATCCATATCTCGGAGTAATAAAACGAAGAAAATACTCAATTGGTTTGGAGGAGAAGCCAAAAATCATGTCCTCCCTTGTATTTCATCAAGTGAATGGGTAACGATCAGATCAACAAGTTTCATAACATGAATCTGTCCCTTTTGACCCATCTAATTTTTTTTTTTGGTTTGCTTACTCAGATCTGACGATCAGGATCTTTTAGTCGATGGTGCCGGAATCAAAACCGGCGACCAATTCCAAGTATACCTCCCTGATCTCAAAGTGGCTGAAGCATCACTAAAGGCTGTTACTTCTCAGCATAGAAATCTCAAGTCTAAGGCAAATAAACCGGAAATCGTTGGAGGTTTTGCTTTCGTTGGTAACAGTCGCGGTGACTTGTTCTTTGGTCGTCCGGACGCAGACAGCTCACCGTTTTTAGAAAATTTCCCGGAGTTACGGTTTGGCGGTATATTCTGCGACAGTGAAATAGGACGCAGCTTATTCGTGGAGGAGGGAGAGGAAAAGAAAGAAGTGAGCATCCGAAGATTTCTTCACGTTTATAGTTCGGTATATCTTATTGTCTCGTATACTTCGTAATGTTAAGGTGTCTGTTTGTTTTATGTTATTGAGAGATTAATAAGTTAACTTAAAAAACCATTATTTCATATCATATCATATTAAAAAAATTTCAAGTCTGTCACAATATTTGCCATTCATGACATTTGACGAATCAGTCTACTTTTGTCATCTCTTCTACATCATTGGTGGTGGGGGCGACACATAACAAGGCGGCGACTTCATTGTCATCTCTCTCGCATCATCCATTGGTGGTGGTGGCGGTCTTGCATAACAAGGTGGAGTCAGTACCACTGCCTCCTCGGACATCTCTCTCGCATCATCCATTGGTGGTAGTGGCGGCAGCCTATAAGAAGGATCCGGGCGCACCACTGCCACCTTAGATACCTCTCTTGCATCATCCATTGGTGGTGGTGTTGGTGGACATTTGCCGATGCAATCCCCTTCCTCCTTCGGCATCTCTCTTGCATCATCCATTGGTGGTGGTGTTGGTGGACATTTGCCGACGCAATCCTCTTCCTCCTTCGGCATCTCTCTTGCATCATCCATTGGTGGTGGTGTTGGTGGACATTTGCCGATGCAATCCCCTTCCTCCTTCGGCATCTCCCTCGCATCACTTGAAGCAAAACCTTAACAAAACAAACACAACAATTTCAATAACGAAACAAAATTCAAATGCCTAACCCCTCAATTCATTAGAAAGATGATGTTTTGACTTTTGAGTATTAACAAAAATGATGAATTACAAGCTTGAAAGATGATATAGTATCATAAGTAATTAAAGAAAGGGAAAGAAAAGAGAAAAGAGAAATGCATACAAAATGCAATGAGGGGGACCAAGAAGACAAGCTTGAGAGTCATTTTTCTCATATTGTTAATTTGTATTTTTTTTTTCACTTGTTTACAAATTATTTAGATTGTAAGTGATGATGAGAGAGCTCTGATTCTCCTTTTTATATAGGGGGAATCACTCTACATTGTTACGTTGAGTAAGATAATAAATGTTTTGAATGAATAGATAATTTACCAAGTTTTAGTTACATGCAATTTGAAATATTACCAACTTGATCTCTCTCAAATTTTGTAAATTAGTTCAATGCATGGCAGATTAATTATTGTGCCTTAGCAATATTTTGGTCAGCACAAATTCTTACCTATTAACCTCATCATTTAGTTGACAAATACAAAACCTAACCTTAGTCAATAGGAGATACTCAATTGGGAGATATCTCTTCCTTATCGACTCAGGGAATGAGTTGATTCTTCACCTTAATCCAATTAGTAGAAAAGCCGATGATTATCTCTGAAACATCTCTGATTGATCGGATCGGTAAGCATATATATATATCGCTTCATTGATTGAATGATGACCTCCATCAATCATCCTCTGTCGTCTTCAGTCTAAATCAAGGTCGATTTCAGTTCACCGGATAATGATCTAGCAACGCCCAGCCGCTTTCACCGGAGACTACGAGGAAACAAGAGTCTAGCAAAGAAAGGTTGTTCGTATAGTCATCGTCGTCGTTTATCTTGAGAATTGATGATATGTGAAAATGTTTCAGAACAACCACGACTCCTGATTATTTCACAACCTCCAGGTATATTTTCCTTTCTTACCTTTTTTTTTTATATTATAAAACATAATCATTTTGATTTTAAAAACCAATTCTAAGTGTTAAATCTAAAATACGTTGAAAACTAACCGGACTTCGCATCCCGTCCTTTGGTCCGTAACTCTTACGGTGTATAAGTTCGACATGTTTTTTCACGTATTTTAAACTTAACACTTAGTTTAAGGTTTTTTAATAAATAATGTTTTAAATAATTTTTTTTGATATTTAACTAAAAAAAATTTTAAATAACCAAAATTTTTATAAAATAAAACCAATTCTAAGTGTTAAATTTAAAATACTTTGAAAACTAACCGGACTTAACATCCCGTTCTTTTGGTCCGTAAGTCTTGCGGTGTATAAGTTCAACATGTTTTTTTACGTATTTTAAATTTAACATTTAGTTTATGGGTTTTTTATTTTATAAATAATATTTTAAATAAAAAAATTTGATATTTAATTAAAATATTTTTAAGAACAAAATTTTTTAAGAAATAAAAACCAATTCTAAGTGTTAAATTTAAAATACGTTGAAAACTAACCGGACTTAGCATCCCGTCCTTTTGGTCCGTAAGTCTTGCAGTGTATAAGTTCGACATGTTTTTCACGTATTTTAAACTTAACACTTAGTTTAAGGTTTTTTAATAAATAATGTTTTAAATATTTTTTTTTGATATTTAACTAAAATTTTTTTAAATAACCAAAATTTTTATAAAATAAAACCAATTCTAAGTGTTAAATTTAAAATACTTTGAAAACTAACCGGACTTAACATCCCGTCCTTTTGGTCCGTAAGTCTTGCGGTGTATAAGTTCAACATGTTTCTACGTATTTTAAATTTAACACTTAGTTTATGGGTTTTTTATTT